TGCCTGTAATCCAGCGTAATTTTCAGGCTAATTCCGAAGGTAAAACTCCGCTGGGCGGCTTTAAATTGCCATATAGCACTTGCCTTGAACGGCACGCAAAGCTGGTGAACGACATTACGCAACGCTATTGCAATAATACGTTACGAATAGAACGAAGTTACGAATATAACAGGAAATATCAAAATAAACAAGGATAGTTGTTAATATTAGTAGGGTGAATGTTTCTCGAGTCACTTTCTGTGACATCATTCAATCTAAGGATTGACAAATCCGAGGCTATCGCTAGGCTCTACGGAAATTCGTAGATTTAGGGCATAGATAGCACTTACTTTAACATCCAAGGTTGCAGTAAAAATAAAAAATGAAAAAACTACCTTGTTAGGTAGGGAGGTCTTATAGGTGAACGATGGCATCTCGAGGACCTGCAGTGACACATTTGAAACAACTGTTTCTTGAAACTATAGCAAATCACTCGATACGTTATTCATAAATAATACAAACAAAGTTTATTAGGAATGACGCTCAATTTTAACAAACACGAAGCAGGTGACTTTATGGGTTAAGTATATTTTAAATGGCTTGGCGTATCAATAAAGGCTGCAGTTGTCTCCAAAAATGTGAGGACAAGGCACAATCGGATGATGCCCTGCAAAAGGCTGCACACCAAATGAACTTCTCTCTCTTGACAAATGAACAACGGCTCCCATCCTGTGCATACAAAACAGCCTTCCATTGCTTGTCATTTATCCATCAATAAGAGTAGTGCTTTATTAAAGTATGTGCTTTCCAGTTCTAATCTTCTTTAGGTGGACAATTCCGAGACCATATAATATGTGTTCCCCCAAGCGACCATCAAACCATACATGTTAGTAGTGATGGCTACGAGCGGCCTAATTTAGAGAACGAAGTTATATAAAAAACCTGTCATTTATCCATCAACAAGAGTGGTGCTTTACTAGTATGCGCTTTCCCCTTCTAATTTTCTTTACGTGATCATTCCCGAAACCATATATGTAAGCCCCAAGCGACCAGCTAACCATTCATGTTAGTAGTGATGGCTACGAACGGCCTAATTCTACATGACGTTCTCACCTGATGAGAGGCCCAAGCAGAAGCATAGTAAACCAAAAATGTTGAGAGAGGCATTCGAGCTCTAAAAAAATACAATGTTTCAATCGTAAAACATCAGGAACTCGTTGAGCTTAAATGAGCTTCAAGTTCGAATAAAAATCAGGCAAATTTCTGTGATGTAGCGATGATCAGGCAAAATTTTAAGACACTGGCTGTAAAAAATGTCTGACCCAGTGACTGACAGCTTTTTTCTGTAAACAAAATGTGGCGTATTTCAAAAAGCATGAGAAATGTTCTCAAGATTTTTATGGAAGTTTGCATGTGTATCAGAATTGAACATACGACTGCATACCTGAGATACGCAGCCATGCGTCTATTCGCTCGGAAACATTGGTAGTTTCCTTCGAATTTTATGACGCAAAGCCGACGGTTGCAGGAAATTCATTCGTTTTTTAGAGAGGCCGCAAAGAATTTTGCTGCTTCTCGACGAAGTTGCAGTGGGGGAAAAAGGTGGCAAGAGCTCCTTGTAAGCCCAGCTGCGATACTTATATTTTCTCTCTTAATTCGCTTCGGTCAAACGAGAATTTTTTTTAGTTTCAGAGTGCATGGCTCCAGTTAAAATATAATGAATATTACTTTTCTATTCTTTTAGACCTTGCTCTTGCGCTGGATATTGACGTTATTGGACATACAGAACAAATAATTGACGACCGCACTACTCTTATAATGAATGGTTCACCACTAATCGTTTACAACGCTATAAGCTGTACGGCGCTTACCAATTAAGGACCACTCATCACACGTACATTGTTGCGCGAAGCGCACTGACAACACACAATGCTCACTTCGCACCACCCAACACGTACCACTCAAAATGCACAGTTCACCACGCACAACACGTCACGTAACTCTCAACTCATGCTTTTACTTCACATGTGTTATTCCACATGCGAATATTCATCATACATTTTTTACCACACATTGTTTCTTGGACAGCTTGAACCGTATGCATCAACTACAGTTTATTATAAAGCATCTACCTACCAGACAAAGTCAGTAGCACTTAGCTTCTTCCATAGTCTGTTGCATATAGCCTCTACCATAATAATCTGTGTCATATAGCGTCTAATTAACATTGTCTTAATCATACTATATAGCGTCTGATTAACATAGTCTTAATCATATCACTACTACCTGCCCATCATGTCTATTCCCGAAGCCATGTATCGTGCATGCAGCTCGTAATATCTAAGTCGCTATCGTATATAGCTCCTGGCTGCATCATATATCTTTCTCACCATGTAGCTCCTAATCATGTAGCTCCTAATATACAGCCTGAATCATGTAGCATTTATAACAAAGGTTGCATGATATTGTTTCCACCGTAAAGCTTATTACGCATATCTCTCCTATATTTTTCACTTCACGGCTTTAAATAAACTACGAGGCTGTCATTAAATCACCACGAGCTGTCACCATCTGTGCTTTTACCATACAATTCCACTCGTATCACGTAACGCATGCATTTGAATCTATAACATTTAGCCACTGTCTTCGACGACATCTTACGTCTCCGTACAAACAACGCTTCACTAAAAAATTGCCGGAACACGCAGAATTTGTTGTTCCTTGTTTAAATTTAGAATTGACTTTAATCTTGCTCGAACAAAGTTTGTTATCATTTAAAAGTTTGCTAAAAGTCCTCTTAGATATAATGGCTCAAAGTTTAACAGAGCTTCGGCTTTCTGGCTTCGAACTTTGTTCCGTTATAAATTAATTGTCTGTGAACAGTTGAAGTTAAGTAAGCAATGCATTTTATACTCCTGAATAAGGGAAACTTTCTTGAACAAAAAATTTTCTATGCAGATTTAGCTTTTATTAAAACTCGCAGTAAACTCTTCGGCCAATAAAAGCCAGGGAACCGAAGCCCAATTTTCCGATCAATGTCAAGCATCAAATCTGCGTTGAATCTGAGGCTTATTTTTTTGCCTGCGTCTGCAGTTTTTGGCCGTCGGGCAGGAACATTTGGCTGAAAATTCTCAATGATCATCAGCATCAGACCCACAATCATTTATTCTTCCAATCGAAAAAAACGAGAAAATTGAACAGTGATTCTTGCAAATAAAGAAATAATGAGGAGTGAAAAAAGCACTTCTTGCACAATTATGCAACGACAACGGTTTGCATCGCTTGTTTTTCCTTCACAAAATTATTGGCTGTTATTTCAAGACTATGACTGTGTTCAAGATTTTATGTATGATTCAATTTTTTAGCAAAATTATCTAGATCCGAACAAGAATTTTTTCACTTTTAGGCAATGGAAGGAAGGATATCATTTTATCTCGTGTTTCTTGACATATAGTGAAGACCTCCGCTCCTGTTTGGGCATTAGGACAAGTTCTCTCAGCACCTGCATTGCATCATTTAATTCTTTCTACCAATATATTTCTTTAATAATACTATGAAGCCGTTCAAAATCCGCACGCTAGAGAAAACTAATTCCAATTCCCGGCTTTGTCCTGTAGACTGTGTATGAAGACAGATAAAAAAATGGTTCGGACATATTACTAGAAAAACTTTAACTAATGACTTTAAGATGCGGCACAAAAATATAAATGCACAATTTTTTTAGAAAAGACACTGAGACTGAAAGATTTTTCTGAAATATTATTTATTTTCTGACCTTATTACTGATATATATAAACAGTAACAATTTTTGGCCACAGCCTACATTATTTGATATAATCCAACCACTGAAACTCAATTACCAAATACAAAGAAATGCTATCGTAAAATTTTAACACGAAAATATCGTTTCTTGCCGAGCATACGTGAAGATTTGATCGACCTTGAGCCGGTCGAAATTATTCATGGGCAAGTTGCATCAGTCAATGAAATTTCAAAACGTGTAGCATAGAAAAATATTAAAAATTGATGAAAAGATAACATGGCAATGCGTACGTAGGCTGATATACTGATAACAAAATTAACGAGCAGTAACTATTGATGATTAATTTCTAGACACTTTTGCATGAAGTTCGGCTTCTAGAACTGCATATTTCAACAGCCGGTATAGCAGGTATTGTTTAGAAGTGCGTGATTCCAACACTCGGGAATCCGAACACTGTTTTTGTTATAAGTGTTATAAAAAATTAGCAACAAATCAACATGATATGCCATGAAGAAATAAAAGGTATGAAGGTTTTTGTAAAAAAACGAAATTTTCACGATCTACTTGTTATACAAAAACGTGCCACTGAAGTCACGTGATGTGCATGAAATGAATAGTCAATAAATTAACTATCATATGTAAAGAGGCGAATGGTTCGCGAATTACATCGTGTTAGAACTCTGAACAAAAAAAAATAAGCCTTGTACGCGTATTTCTTCAATCGTTGTTCTGAATTAGTTGAACGATTCAACCATTACCATACAATTTCAACGCCGGTCAACGGGATAACGGGATAAACGACGGACTTTTACAGTGTCATTTATGAGTTAAATGATAATAGTAAACAAAATTATACAAATCTGGAGTCGAAGGAAGCGGAGCCTTCAATTTTTCCAAATGTCAATATTCGATGATATCGGAACATTGAAAATTCAACTAATAGCTCAGTATTGCAACGTCGGAATATAAATGAACAAATTTAAAATAAAAGCATTAGAACACCTTTAAACTTTAAACGTTCATTTGTTGAGAGTACTTTCAAAATCTCTAGCAATTTAAAGAAATTTTATTTCCTGAACAAGAAAACACCAAATTACAAGCAATAAGGTTAATTGATAACGTGATAAGGATACACGTACTGCAGCGATTTAGCGCGAGCCTCCGCTCAATTTGTACGGTATCATGCCATGCAAATTGGCAGCGGAAACACTCGTATTGCGGCGCGCTTCTGATCAACGCCGCTATTGCAGCTTGAGATATGACGCCATTACCTGCAATTGCTGCCGCGGTGCACAGGCGAGAACAGGGTGAGCATTTTGCCGAGGTTGGGGGAATGTGGCGTGTGGGGCGCGAGGCATGAAATGTGGCAAGTGTGGCGCGAGGCATGAAATGTGGCAAGTGTGGCGCGGGGCATGAAATGTGGCGCGCCAGGCATTAGATGTGGCATGTGTGGAGCGGGGTATGAAATGTGGCATGCGTGGCGCAGGGTATGAAATGTGGCATGTGCGACGCCGGGTATGAAATGTGGCATGTGCGGTGCGAGGTATTAAATGTGGCGTGTGGGGCGCGAAGTATGAAATGTGGCATGTGTGGCACGGGGTATGAAATGTGGCATGTGTGGCGCGGGGTATGAAATATGGCATGTGTTGCGCGGGGTATGAAATGTGGCATGTGTTGCGCGGGGTATGAAATGTGGCATGTGTGGCGCGGGGTATGAAATGTGGCATGTGTTGCGCGGGGTATGAAATGTGGCATGTGTTGCGCGGGGTATAAAATGTGGCATGTGTTGCGCGAGGTATGAAATGTGGCATGTGTGGCGCGAGGTATGAAGTGTGGCATGTGCGACGCCGGGTAGGGAATTTGACATGTATGGCGCGGGGTATGAAATGTGTTATGTGTGACATGAGGGCATGTAATGTTGTATTTGCAGCGCAATATTGGTCACTGAAAATGGTATTTATTGCTTCAGTGACAGCAAAAAGCATGAACTGTGCATAAGATGGAAATTTCTGAATTTTGGTCGGCCAAATGTGAATTGCGATTCCATAGAAAAAGACTTGAAGAAAACTTTATCAGTAAATGGCTGGAGTGAGATAACACAGGACGGATTTCTTTATAGCAGTGACAAGATTGATGAAGCCGATATTAGGAACAAGCATTAGAATTTTCCCATAGTGGTTTCAGCGCGTAGAAATTTGGAGTCCAAAAACAATATATCCAAAGTTAGCTATAGCTATGCGAAATCCTTGAGATTACGTTGATGTTAATTGCACCAAAGCGCAAAGCCAATATATTTTCGTTCATAAAATTAAATAAATTAATAAAATACTTTATATTCACGCATTTATACTTCATTTTTCATACGAGGTGATCAGTTATGATAATCAAATATACTACAGTATTTATATGGTTGTAAAAACACTTCATGGCATGACCTGATTAAATACCAATACGTAGACAAGGCCCACGATTTTTTGTTTTATAAACATGATCATATCCACAACTCCTATCGAGTATTTTCCTTATAAAAATAACACAAACAGCCAGCAGCAGAATTCTTACGGTTCGGAATCATCGAGTAATCTTTCACAATTGCCTCTGATAGTTGAAATTCTTGTATATTTTTTTAAAGCAAGTCTCGTTGTATTTCCTATCATAACCTCAGGCAGTGCATTGAAATGAAAAATTCTGATATCATCTTCATGATCACAGAAATTCAAAAGAATTCACAATGCATTCGAATGCGTTTGTACCGGGAAAAATTTGCATTTGCATCACAACCGTTCAATTCTTGGAAATTATATTCACATTTGGAAAACATCTTACCAACTATCATTGAAGACTTGCAAGCATTTTATAACGCTTTGAATAAGCTTGAATGAAGTAAGAAATGAGATAAATAAAGCAAACAAGGATATAAGAATGCAATATAAAAATTAGCAAGTAAGTAATTAGCGAAAAATTATCTCAATTTATCTAAACTGCTTTACGACGCATAATTGACGACGAAAAGAAATGACAACAAGGTCATGAGTTAAATTTTATTCCAGGAAGAAAACTTATGGCAAGATTGAAGCGTTTTTTCCTCGAAAGACGTAATTAAAAGCTAATTAAAATTCAAGGGAATAAGGCTAATCTCCTCCAGAAAAACAATAATGAGGCTGCGCGACTCAAGGCTGCCATGATAAAAAATTAAGGGTTGATATAGTGAATATAAGTTTCTAAGGATTTTAAAAACGAGGGAGCTAGCACAAAACTTCACTATATCTTTATACAAAAGATACAGAGACCACATTCATCGTCAGTTCGACAATCCTAGAAAGTAAACACGACTATCTGTTAATGACCCAAAATTAAGAGGCAGACAACATGAAATGTATAAATAAAACAAAGAATCTAAAATAACCATGCAACAGCCAGACTGACCAACCTGTTTCCGCTTTCAAAAAGATACGACAAGTGTGGTATTTATGTGAATATCATCATATCATCATATCATTTTTTTCATCAAAACGCACCGATTAAATGGTAAATGCGAGGACAGCATCAAAATCCTTGACTATAGATTTGCTTCAAATTAGTTCAGAAGCCTGGAATCAAAATTATTTCAATGTTTATAAATGAATAGCAATATATGCTGCACTAAACCACATATTATCAAACTCTACCAGGTTAGTCCGACGCTGCCCCGCTCGATTTTCCCCTAAAAATTTGGATCCTGCTATCCTGCTATCCGAATTAATACTGAAATTGACGCGTTAAAATTAAAGAAAAAGCCATATAGCCCTCATTTTACATAGAACATAATACTTTTATCCGACTATTGCTTCAAAATGGGGAAAATTATTTGCCTTCTTCTCGAAACAAATTAAACATGTTAATATATAAATCAAGTTTCAATTTTTGGCCCAATCCAATCCTCCAATATTTTCCTTTTCCCATTGAGAAGGTAATTATAAATCCTAGTATTGTCCCGACACTATTAGTATCTTTAGTAGCCTTTAACTATCCTGTGCCAGGCTTCAAACACACACACCCACATGTACACACAAATTTCAACAACTATACATGATGTTAATAAAAGAGCACGAACGCATAGCGTGGCATCATAATTCCGGTAAATATAGTGTATTTATTCTTCCACTCTATCTTCTTTACAGGATTCAAAGCGCCTGCAGTATCTCATGTATTTTCCTTCGCTTTAGATTTGCTGAGTAACTGCTCGTGTATCTTCTTGGCATTGAACAACCTAGCAGATTGGCTTTATTCAATAATAACCCATGGATTTTTTCCGTCGATTTTGTGCATAGTATTGTTATATATTAGACTCATATCATTGCTCGTGTCAAAGTCTAACAGAAAAAATATTAGTCTCATTCTTCGGTCATGATTTTTTTTAACAAAGCAAGATGTGCGCTATATAACTCACCATGCCTTACGTCTGCTCGCGAGTCAATGCAAGCCAAGCTTTTCAACCTCATTGCATTACTCAGAGCTGATCGTCGACGTCGCTTTTCCGTCACGTCGCATTTCAATTCATGGGAAGAAATTTCGCTAAATAAATTGGCATGTTCACCCAATTCTGCGAGGTTTAGCTTCCAGCTGAGAGGAAATTTGACCGACCGTTTGATTCGAATAAGATTTGCATTTGCCGCCGGAAAATTTCCTGGAAACAAGCGCCGGAAATTCCGACTCAAATTGGACTTTTCCGCCAGGCTTAAATTTTCGTTCCGTGGTGTGGGGAAAGCGCGGGTTACAACCGAGCACGTTTTTTTTCTCTTGTCTCGCTTTTGGCAAAGTTCCACGCGGCAGCTAGCAAACGCTGCACGTCTCGTGGCGACACAAAAACGTCCAAGTCTACGGCGACTCGCGGCGATACAACTACCAAGTCTACGGCGTCTCGCAGCGATACAACTACAAAGTCTACGGCGTCTCGCTTCGATACAACTGCCAAGTCTACGGTGTCTCGCGGCGTCACAAAAACGCTCAAGTCTACGGCGTCTCGCGTCGGTACAACTACAAAGTCTACGGTGTCTCGCGTCGGTACAACTACAAAGTCTACGGTGTCTCGCGGCGTCACAAAAACGCTCAAGTCTACGGCGTCTCGCGGCGATACAACTACCAAGTCAACGGTGTCTCGTGGCGACACAACTACCAAGTCTACGGCGTCTCGTGGCGACACAACAACCTCCAAGTCTACAGCGTCTCGCAGTGACAACAATGTTCAAGTCTACAGCGTCTCGTGGAGACACGACAACGTCCAAGTCTACGCAGTCTCGCAGTGACACAACAACGTATAAGTTTACACAAAATCCACACTGATATTCGGGTTACCAAATACCATTCACTACGAGATTTACGCACTTCCTTTATGGGTTGGCGTGCGAGATTTTAAAATTTTTTAGGACTTGTGATTTAGGCTGGTGAGATTAGAAAGATTTTTCGGGCTTGTGATTTAGGCTTGTTAAATTAGGAAGATTTTTAATTGCCATGTCAGGAGACACATTGAAAGGCGATGTGATATAGATTTTAATTAGATTCTATTTGTCGCTTTTTTGGTATCCAGTGTTCGGTAATAAACTAGAAGATATTTCTTGAATGATCTCAATAAATTAAAGGTAACGTGATTAATAATAGAAGAAAAAAGTCTGTCTGAGAGGACATCCCAGGTTCGTAATTTTAAATTCAAAAGCAGTTTGGTGACGGTGAATGAAATTTATTGTATTTTTTGATAGAACTCTCGAATTTGTGCTAACGTCTTGGATTCACGAGAATAAATAAAATTAATGGACAACTGGAGAAAATTGTAATATGCAGAATAAATTACCGCATGGCCCATACTTTCCTAATTATGGTGTCAAGAACATGAGAATTAGATAAGAACTTACATATATATGAAAACAAACCCATAAAGATGTGAACTCATGACGATACATTTAACAGAAATTATTTCATCAGACTCGTGCTCGACAAAAAATAAGTAGCTCCATAGCAAAAATGTCCAATGGGAAGCAATTAATCAGAACTAATTTTTATGCAAGGAAAGAATCACCATGAAGTCTCGAAAAGAGGACACGGCTGTGAGCGAAAAATATAGGTAATGAAGTAGGTAGGAATTCCGTCTTGCCGGTGTAATTATTCACTACCGCGACCCATCATTACTCATTATTCACTATGGCGACCCCTCATTATTCATGAGACTTTGTTCCAACCCTCGAAGGCGGCTTCTGCCCCAGGCGCCTGCAACTGCCCTAGTTTTAAGAAACGAAATTTTTTACCGCACAGCGAACTTTTCTGGTTCATTTTTGACCCCAAAGAAAATATCCTGAGCCTGAAAGCGGCGGCGCCCTTCGGTCTTCCGCAGTCCGTCTTGAAGTGATTCTGTAGCCGCTCCGGAAAATATGAGAAGTAGATTCTCTCGAGACGAAAAATCATGAGACGATCACGAAGACTATGTCAGTGCTATATGGAATCTAATAGGATTCTAACAAAACATTTCAGTGAAGGTTTAGAAACTTCACTCGGAGCGGTAAAAATTTAAGAAGTAGATACTTTCGTGGTGCAAAATCATGTAGCGGCTATAAGGTGACTCTATATAGGGGCGCTCTCAAAACTTGAAGCAAAGATACTGTGGCAGAATTTAGATGCTCATTATTTGGAATGACAAATTTGACTGTCTAAAAGAACATCAGGAAGAATGTTATTTCTGAAACGGATAACATAAAGTGATATTTAACACGTAAAGCTTATTTTGACAGAATGCAATCTGAAAATTTGTGTTGTCGGACGCCATATAGGAGGAAGAAAACAATGAACACATTGCACGGGAAGCGGCGTGCTTGTGGCTTGGCTTGGTGCGCAATTAATAGGAGCTACCAACGACGCAATTAGCGCTGCCGAGACCAAAATAATTAAGAAACGCCTCGATTTTCTGAAGTTGCTGGAAATTTCCTGGTAATCTGCCGAGGAAACAGAAGAGGTCATTAAATTATTTTAAAATGAAATATTTAATTTGCGTGTGCTTTTAGCCGGTTTATTGTGAAAGTAAATCTCAAGCTGAAGTTAGACTGTTGACCCTAAGTGAAGAATGCGCTAAAACCTGGATTATAAACAACATTTCATCTCATAAATCCTAAATATATATTTTTGTTGATGAATAAAACGGGTTTCAATTTCCGGATATAATGTAGTGCACGTCAGAATTCTGCCTACTGCAGGCCAGGTATAATCTTTAGCCCGTGTTCTGCGCATGCCTGCGATGAATTTTCAGGATTATTTTATGCATTTGAAATTCAGATATGGTGCTTCAAGTATGAAAATTGTACGAGAGGCATCCGGAAAGTAGTACCCGCTCGGTAATTGAATAAAAAATAGTAAATATTAATAAATGTAAACATGTTTTTTGAAAAAGTACATGTATTACACTACTTCTCTAGAAAATCTCCGGACAAATTTAAGCATTTGTCGTATCGTGTCACGAGTTTTTGTATACCAGTGTCATATGTTTCCGCCGCCAGTGTTTCTGGGATCGGCAAGGTGTACTGCTCATCGATTTCATGACTCGTGGAGACACAATCAATGTCAATGCATATTGTGCAACATTGAAAAATTACGTGGGCAATTCAAAATCGACGTCGAGGTCTGTTGTCATTCTCCAGCACGATAATGCCAGGCCGCATACGGCTCGGATAACACAACTTCTCCAAAAATTCAAGTGGTAAAATTCTGACCATCCACCCTACATTCCGGAATTGGCTCCTTCAGATTTTCATCTGTTTACGAAACTCAAGGACTTCGTGGCAGGGACAAAGTTTCAAAATGACGAAGAACTGAAAGAACACGTGACTGCGTAACTCAATACACTGGTGGCGGAGGAATATGACAGTGGTATACAAAAACTCGTGATACGATACGACAAATGCTTAAATTTGTCTGGAGAATACGTAGAGAAGTAGTGCAATACATGTTCCTTTAAATAAACATGTAGGTATAAATATTTTAATGTTTACTTCCTTTTGTTCAATTCCCAAACGGGTACTACTTTCCCGATGCCCCTCGTATCAATCTTCGAACATGTCGATCTTATATCATTTGAATTTTTATAGTTCCATTTTCATTTCTAAACACCAGCTGCGCTAAAATCGGGCAGTTCGCTTATTTCAGACTTCTCTACCGCTAAGCCTGCCGACATTCTACAACGAGTCGATCCCTGTCGTCCAACAGCACGAAGCGGCCAACGATTAAAAACTGAAAATATGAGCTAACGGTTTGAGAACAGTAAAACTTTAATTTTAAGACAAGCGAAAACCACCAGTGTCGCCAATTTACACCTATATTATAAACGCAATGTTTGCATTTGTATTGAAAATGGCTCATTGTAAATATATTTCCAATTCTAAACGTTTGAATTTACCCGAAAGAACGACTCTAATCGCTGCCAATGAATTTCGATACACCTGGAAATTACCTAAACTGAATTTATAGTACCAACTCTAGACTATAATGATGTTAGAACATTTGAGGATTGCTCGTACATTCTCGCTCGACAGACATCAAGAATACTCTGTTTTCATATCGAGTTAATAAATTTATTTACTCATTCGTTAGTTTTTTACATTATAATTTTAATGCAAAGTGTTGGCTTCTGCAGCTGATGTGAAAAATATGATCTAAATCGCCAATATATCCATCATACACAGGAATAGTAATGAACGTACGCATTCGCAACGCTAAATTCAATTTGGTCGGGAAGAAAGAGTAGATTCCGAATGTTTTGACGCAGTGGAAATTCTGAATTTAATTTTATTACTGCATTTTAACGAAGCAGATTTCAGACAGCAGATCTCCTCCAGTTTGTTTGATCATATATGAAATAATTACATTTTTAGTTGCATGAAAAAAATGTTTGCTACTAAAAAAAAATTCAAAGAGAGATACGAAATTAAAGTTTCCTGAAATGAAAATTAGATTATAACCGAAATACGAACACGAACTTAAATAAATAGATAAAAAGTTTTCGAATCTAGTAAAATTTTTGAGGTTATCATCAAATTTCCGAGGTCTGAAGTTATCAATATTTGCATAAGATTGATTATCAATGTGTAGCCGAAGAGAGAGCAACGTATACACATAGGAAAAGAATGAACCGTATTAATTAGATTTGATTTCATTTAATTATTATTGCTGCAACGGAAAGGATGGAGAATAATCTAACGTCTTGTTTATACTCGTTTCTTCCGATACATGGTCGTTTGTGAAGGAACTGTATAGCCTTAGGTAAAAGTAAATATTTCTGTTTGGTCTATCATACTTACAAATAAATACTTACAGTGACGTTACGTTGAGTCGATTCAACTTCAGCGTGTAAAGAAAGCACTTTGACTCGGTTCAACTTTAGCGTATACTGAGGTTACGCAGTTATGCTTATATGTAAAGTTTATTCAACTTGAGATTCGAAATTAAAATAGTTTTATGACTTTTGGACAACCTATTGCGACTAACCCGTCGCTAACGTTCGGCTGGGTCCCGTAAGGTCAGAATGCGACATCCACCATCACTCGCACCTTAGGGGCGAACGAAAACTTCCGCGGTGTTTATTGGTTTGACATAAAGTTCGTTTCCTGCTTCTTCTGACTACACAAACTTCTCGAAATGATCGAATTGATTTCTGTCAAGTGCCGTCTTGGATGGGAAGGCTGGAGGCCCTTTTATTTTAGAGCGGCTTCAGATTCCTGGGATGTTTTAAAGGATTTCGATCCAGATAGTCGAGTTTCTTATTGTAGCTCAGCGTCCAGGGGCTGATGGTAGTCATTGACAAAAAAAAAATTATTGGACCAAGATGTTTTATGATGGAATTAATAAAGAGCTTTTAATAAGTAAAACATTGCTGTATACGAAAATGAGACGGGCATGAATTCCAGCGAATGATTCCTCTCCCAGATTTCTGAGGCTGACACTCAAGTCGTAATTTCGTTGATTTGAACCCGTCGAGCTCGCCTTATCTAATGGCTCGTCTATTTGCCTAGGGGTTCTTAAGAAGAGGAATATTTTAGTCTGGCAATCATCTCGGGCAGGACGGACTCGCAAAGGCTTCTTCGCTCCCGAAGGCTCGATCTGTCAGCGTTATTTGAGACAAACCACGAGCTGGGTCTCTCATCTCCCATAAAGCGCCTAAGCGAGTCTGATCAAGAGCCTGAATGCCTCTCCACTGCGAACAAGAAAACGCTTTCGTTTCAAGTGGATGATCCCGAGACGATGATTCAAGCTCTTGTCGAATAGCAGACAA